TTTAACTTAAATGTACAGTAATCAAGTAATATGTACTTTCTTACTGTCCAACACAATGCAGGTCCTACAACATTTCATGTTCATGTTGTTGTACTTGGATAGACTGCTTAAGGTTTTGTTAGGTTCTGTAAGGTTTGAGTGAATAAATGAAAAGCAATAGCACCAAAATAAGAAGCTGGGTTTATCTAAGTCCTTAATAGCTAGGCTGAAAATATACTTATTTTTTAACCTTGCTTTCCTTTATACAACAAAGTGAGTTTTGAACATAATTGTTCACATACACAGACTTTACCACCCCTAACATACTGACTGAACTAAAACTTTGAAAGTGAGATTTTTAGACTGATTATTTGTGGAAACATTATCTCTGTAGGTAAGCGATGTCATTGGCAGAGGCCTGTCACCAACGCCCTGTAGAAAGTCCAGTAGTGAAGCACAAATGTTCATTTGAAGGAGAGGATCTTCAGTGTGCCCTGACATGAGGAAGACATCGCTTCAAATATGCATAAGCTCGGGGCTTTTTGCACGCACATTCTACAGGAACGATGGTTTCATCCAAATGGTTCAATCTGTCACAGTATGTTACTGACCGGAGATACTGCTGAACACGTCATGAATCAAGATTGACTTGTGTTTTAAATAAAACCTGACCTTCTTTACCAAACATGAATCCCTGTAGCTGGTTCGAGTTTATTCATTTAAATGTATTTCATATAAAAACTAAAACGTACAGCCCTACCACAGGAAATAAAAGTGTTTTAGAATGAGGTGCTGTAGACCAGAATTACAAACAATAAATAAATAAAACAATACATAAATAATGATGTAATGCCTGCCATATGATGTTATTCTATTTGGTACATGACAGCTTTCTTAGACCACGTTTACTTGTATACCATCCACTGAAAATGAAATTGTTTTTCATTAGCGTTTTCATAAAAGTGTGTACGTTCAGACTACAACATTTGATAACAACTGTTGTGCACAAGGATCCGCAAAAACAACTAAAAACATGAAGTCTACACGCCAGGCCAGTCGTTCAAACAACACACGCAATACCACATATTCTTACTTCTACAGAGTGGTGAGGTGTAAATACAAACATGAGACAGAGATTGTGCTGTTACCAAAAGTGTGCACACTTGAATGTTAAAGGCTTTATATGTGATTTTTCACACTTAAATATAATATAAATCAAGTATATCCTCTGAAAATAACTCTGTGAGTCATGACTGTCTACAATGGGTGAAACACCCGAGTCCCACTGTCTGTGATGTTTTCAGAGTTTTCAGAGTCCTATCTTCAGTTTGTTTACATCGTCAGGACGGCCGGCTGACTCCTCCCCTCACATATAAAAGTTGTTTAATTGAGGGACTAGAGAAAAGAAGAATAACATACTGTACTCACTGCTTAACTGTGTTTCTAGATCACGCTCATTTCAGGTAAATTTACATGCAGTGTGAAGATACAAGCATAATAAAGATTGCTAGCATTAGCATGCTAACACAACAATGCAGTGTGAGTTGTTTTGGTTTCATGCTGGTGCTCAAGGGCGACATCTGCTGGATCAAAAAATCACATATAAAGCCTTTAAAAGAAATCAGAAAGACATTTTTCATTACAAACATGACATAGGAGACGAGTTCAGAGACATGAGAGGACGGCCACATGGCTCACCAACATTAACTCAAATTAAGTAGCTCACAGGATCTTTCAAAACTAATCAACTACATCATCCTGCTAATACGCTCAAGATTTACGAATAATTCACCACTTTCTTTAACGGTACAACCAGGGCCCCAACGCCCCCAAAAAACTGTGAACTGACCACGTCAAACGCGTGCCCAGATGCTTGGCTGACTGCCTGTGAGCAGAGCAGACTGTGGACTCTTTAGGGTTAGGTTCAGTGTGCGTTTAAGAGACTGGGGGACTGGGGGAATGCTGTGCTAGCTCTTCTCCAAATATCTGCCTATCATTTATTCATCCACGCTCCCAGGATGGCTGCTGCTGCCATCATCTGAGGAAGCCATCATCTGAAGCTGCACCTCTCTGCGCCTCTGTCGATCATCCATACACGAGCATACGCATGCTCACTCAGGCACTTTCCAAGCGGTCCCAGAGGTCTTTTAATTTTTGAGAAGCTATTTTTAGAGAGAAAAATAATCGAGGTGGAAAGTTCCATCTGTCCAACACTCTTGTTCCAGCTGCTCCTTTTTAGCAGCAGGCGGAAAAAGGGGGGTGGGGCGCAACCTATCAGACTCAACTGACACAGACAGGATTTTTTTTTTATCATTAGCATTCTGCATCAATAGGATTTTAAACCTGCGGGGCATGTTCCAACAAAGAGAAGGGGTGAAATACATTTTTTTATTACAAATCAAGGGGAACATAAAGATCCTGTTTAAAGCTTTTCATACTTAGTTATCTTTATCTTCATTATACCTTCAAACACACTGTTGATTTAGAACCTTCTAAACATTATGAGATAGCTACTGAATGTAAGTTTAGAACAGGTTTTGCTTTGACGCTTAGATGTTTTCTGGCCTGTAAAATAGTCAAAAACTTCGACCACAAACACAGAGCAACTGAATGGCATGAATCGTATTTGAATGAAAATGGACTCAAATGGCATCATCTAACATAGACGACCATGTAAACAACAAACAGACCAGGGTTGCTATGTCATTTCATGACTGTGTGCAGAGCAACAAGCCCACAGAGATATCACAGGAGAACTTGCCTGTACAGCTTTGATGCAGACATGGATATCATCATATCATGTCATGTGCTAAACTAATACTCAATTGTGTTGTTTTGTGTTTGTGGTTAAGTGCTCCTCGTCCAACTAGACCTTTAACTGCAGACTGGAGTCTTACTGGCTGGACAAGAGAAGCATGGAGACGCTAACATTAAAGTGTGTTAAAGTTTGAAATGTTCTCTAAGATCTATTGTGCACAACACAAAAACAGACACAACTAGTTGAACGTTTCAAAGTCACAACCTCCGCTTGAATCAAAGTGTTGTATTGAATGGAGCTCCGGAACAGTCCCTGAATCCCCCCCCTGAGGGTTGTTCTGGGTGAATCGTTAAGTTTGGGCATCATGGACAGAGCATCTCTGTGTTCATATCGCCAGGGGGATGTGTTGTGACAACAGCTGAACCAATTTGTTTATCAGCAGAAAGCCTCTGCTGCTTTTCTTCTTACTTTAACAAACTTGTTCTTAAACTTTGAGGCACTTCACATTTGAAGCAGCCAGCTCTGCTGTAAGATCGTATTTATTATTCCAGAAGAACAGATTCAACATTTATGGGTAGATGGCTGATGCCTGAGCCGGTCTCTTATGAATTTGACTTTCTCCCTTCATAGTTGATGATTATTTTGTCTTTTCAAGACTTAGAAACATTTATTTTTAAGTACCCAGTGTACGTACACAGCTACAAAAAAAACACACATTCTGGTATGTCCATTATGTTCACGCATATTACTCTTTTGTCTTGTAATATTACAATATGTTTTAAAGGAAAGCAAGATAAATGAAACCATTAAGATATCATTACAATTTTACAATTCTACAGAATTACTTAAAAATCCAAGAAGTTCAGTGTCTGGTAACATAAATCACAGATAGGATCAATCCAGTGAGAGGTCTGACATTAAAAAAAGAGAGGTCAGTTCAAACAGACAAAACAAGTCACTTCTGGACTTTGAACAAACACTGGCAGATCCCTACAAGACATAAAAGGAAAGAAAGAAAGAACTCTCCAGTAAACAAAGTTCTCTCTGTAAAAGTCGGTCAACAGAACAGCTGAGTTTTCCCTGGCTGAGCAATTTCTTATTTCACCGGACTTTTACCTTCACTCATTACAAAGGCTAATAAAGTGATGTGTGTGTGTGTGTGTATACATAAATAAAAGAAAAGTTATTTTTGTGTTGTTACATAAGGCTCTAATAGGATGGAGTTTTACAGCATTGTATATGCTCCGTCTTGCCTTTTTCTGCCAAAATATTGACACGTTCCTTTTTCAGGTGTAGCGTCTTTACATCTCTATGAAGTGTGCTCACATCATGACAATGCTCATGTGATGTTCACTAATGAATAGCTGCTATTTTGTCCATCTTTAATTATATCTCTGAATGCTTACTCTGAAATATAGAACTAGTCTATAGAAAATCAAAAAAAATAACATCACATATCACATACAAGTGAGATTGTTCTATTTTCAATATGTGCCTGATATTTCAGTGTACAACAAATATCAAAAGTCTTCTAAATGCTAAGACAGTGCTTATGAACCGTCACACAATGCATGCTCTCCTTCACAGCAATGCCTCTGTGATCTTTGGTCAGGCTGGTATTTCAGTAATTCGTCCTCCTTTGTATTTGTTTCTAAACAGTAATACAGTTGTAGCACGTCTTTACTTCCACGTTTTTAAAAAAGAGGATAATTGAAACCAAAAGTGAAGCTTCAAAATCCTATAAAGTGAAATCAGTAACTACAGAAAGCAGAAAGACATGGACACTAAAATGTCCCAAATGCTTTGAGCGTGAGCCGACATTTCGACTCCTGGGGAAAATCCATCCTAAACCAGTGCTTTATGTGGTAATATCGGGGATTTGTCAGCTCCAAAAATAGGGGAGGGGGGGCTTTGAGAGACTGAACCATTGGCACAATTAAATTCGAGATACATCTGTTTTTTGCAGAATTGCTGCAGATGGATTGTAAATGATTAGGGCACGTGATAGAAATGACTTTACTTTTCAAAATAATGTTCATATAGCCTACTTTAGGGTGTTCTTTACTTTTCTTTTTTTTTAATTATGTGACCAATTTATTAAATATTCTTATTGTCATTAGTGTAGTAGTGTCGGCCTGATATTATACGAAGTGCACTGTGCTTGTGTGTGTGTGTGTGTGTGTGTGTGTGTGTGTGTGGGGTGGGGTGGGGTGGGGGGGTTAGGGATTGGTAATGTACACAAGTTTAAAGTGCTACAACTTACCCTTCAAGAAGAAAATGACCACCCAGGCTATCCAGAGATCTGAGTTGTGAAACTTCACCATCGTTCGTAAATGTTCATGCACTGCGTTTTATGGAGAGCCTCTTCAGTGAAACCTCAGCTCCGCTCACAGCTCAATGAACAAAAGTAAGTGTTCCCTCTAAAGAAATGTGACAGACATGATAGCAGTCCGGGTGATACGCAGCGTACGGGCGTACAACAGCATCTCATCTACACACTCTTCAATGTTTCACTGCGTGGAGAAAAACTGCACCAATGGCATTTGTATCAAACCCGCGTCCCTTTCTTTTTGAAGCGCTTCAGGCACTCCTCCTTTCCTCCCGTCCTTTCCTCCCGTCCTTTGGTAGCTCCCGGTTACTTCTTTTCTCCTCGACCGCTCCAGTCAATTTACGCGCGGGTGTAATAACTTAACATCCAATCACCGTTGAAGGACAGAATACCCACGGTCCCTAAAAGTGACCTACAAACAGAACAACCACTGTCTCTAAAAGTGTCCTACACATAGAAACAAACTGGCATCTTTCCGCCCGCGTGTTGCGCTTCATATCTCTCCTCTGTTCTTCTACTGCAGATGAGCTGACCTGGGGGCAAAAAAGTAGCTTTGCAGATATACGACTTCCGGTTGATGTTTTCAAAATAAAACACAAGTGAAGCATGTCGGTGGTGTATATCATAATAGTAGTGATTTGTATATGTTCCTCTCACTCTTCTGTAGCCTGAAATACAATTTAAAAAGGTAATTCTCTCAGAATCAGGAAATAGAAATGACGTTACTTTTTTTAAAAATTGTTTAACATTTTTAAAGTGATATAAGCTATAAATATATAAATAATAGGCTATAGGCTATGTTTATATTTGAAAGACGTGTCATTTCAAAACTTGTCTTGAGAAATTAGTCTAAGATAAAAAAAAATAAAAAAAAGATTACGACCAATAGGCCTGCGTTGATATGAACTACAGGAAACACGTCCAGAATCATTGTGCTGTTATTTTCCACCTCTCTTCCTGTTGTGGTCTCAGTTTGTTTCTGCGCCTTCACGGCGCTCACGAGAGGATGATTGAGATGAGCTCAAGCCTGGCTGTTGCTGGGAGACCGCTGACGCCAGCCGAGAGAGGGAGACGGAGACGAGAGAGGGAGGGAGAGAGGGAGAGAAACGAGAGTGAGAGAGGGAGAGAAAAGAGAGAGAGAGTGAGGGAGGGAGAGAGACAGATTGACGCAAAAGAACGATCACAGAACGATTGACTTAAAAGAATACATATGACTGTGTATGTACTTATCGTATACCCACAGAAATGTCTCGACCCTTTAAAAGGTCTAGTGATCGTGTCTCCCCAAAAACTGCTTAAGGCTACATATCAACGCATTTCTTTACCTGCTCTCAATCCACATTTGTCAGATTAACCAAGTTGTCAAATTGGTACTGCTGGAGGATACATTTTGCTGATGTTAATAAATAATTTGGATTGTGTGAACATTTTGCCTGTTAATATTCTTAATGTAGGCTACTGTTGGTGTAATGTATTTTTTTGCTCTAATTTACTGCACAGTCACATGAGAAAGGATAAAAATACTTATCTCTTGTCCATTAACACCTGCTGTGAGAGTCTACCCAGGGCAAAATCAATTCATGACGTTTGTCCTTCATAGCAGTTTAACAAATTGATGCTTAACCATAAAAGGGGATTCAAATAAAAATAATGAATCAATTATTTCCCTAAATGACAATCATGTTCTGATTGTCAATGCAACATATCAATCATAATGAAAACATATTTGTTATTTTTGAAAATTAGACTGAGCTCAAACGGGATCTTAAACATTAATCGATTATAAAATAGACAACACTGACATCTTGTGGTGGAAAAAAAACACTTTAGTTGAAGAACATTATTTGTTACAGTTACCTTTACTTTATAGAATCAGCATATATGTTCACACAACAGCATCATTTTTTACACCACCATTAAAAGGAAGGAAGGAAGAAAGGATGGTATGACTGGACACTTAAACAAACACTCGTATGAATGATCAGAGCAGGCCAGCCCATGAGGAGGAATCAATCCTAAAATGACACAAATGAAAATGCTGTAATGCAGTGAGGGAACATGATTAATTAAAGAGCAGTGAGTCATAAAATCTAAAATGCCACTGCTCTTTTATGACACAACTATCTTAATATTTCCCCTCCCTTGATCCTGGGTTTGGCTCTTTTTTAATTTGACTTTGCAAGGGAAACGTTCAAGCAAATTTAACCAATGTATAGTACACTTTGTTTCAACAGAATAAAGTCTCAGTAGTTTGTCTCACAGTGATAAAAATAGAAGAAGTTGTACTGGACTGGCTGAAAAACACTTTGCATACGGAAGTATGAACGTAATGAGATGCAAAATGTAAACAGCATGACCACACAAAAGGGAGGAAGGTGTCAGGTCAGACTAAAACTGGCACTGCTGGTATGACCTGTTTTGGAGCCTTCATAAACACACCAACCTTTTGAACAAGGTATGGCAGGAATGTCACCTGTCACACCTTGTGTGCTGCAATTTATTACATCTCAAATTCAAAAGGTTTTAAGACTACAAACCAGAAGTTGAACTAAATGAGTAGGGATAAAAATCAACACCCTTTTACATCAATCATAAAATAAGCAAGATATCTGCAAATTAACTGGTGTATTGGACCCACCTCATTAGAACTAGAGGAGGATGAGGATGATGAGGATGAGGATGATTTATTTTCCCCCTCCTTCTTCTTCTTCTTCTTCTTGTCCTTCTTTACCTCCTTTAGGCCTTTGTCAGACTTTGACTTGTCTCCATCATCAGATTTTTCCTTACTTTTAGATTTATCTTTGTCACACTTGGACTTGGAGTCTCCCTTGAATAAACAAAAGTTAAATTTGAATAAATCATTAAGAGTGTTGATTTTGTCTTAAAGTGTATTTTTCAGTCCAATATGTGTAACCTTATTAATCAGTAAGTGAACAACTGTATGAGCTTCAGTGGTTTGTGTCAAAGAACTGGTAACTAAAGGTAATGGGAAAAAGATTTACCAGCAACTGTTTTAAAAATCAGTTTTACTTTTATCCAGACTTACAAGACCACCAATCCCTTTAGGAATTACAAGAGTCTTTATAGAATAAAATGCTCCTACCTTGTCCTTATCCTTCTTGCGCCAAGGCCAACTTATCTCATCCTGTTGAGCCTGCTGCGGCTTCACTTCTTCCTCCACAGCTGCACACATTCAAAACAGGTATGAGCAGTGGAAAGGACTCGGTTACACTAAATGTCATGTAGCCTAAATATCTGCAGGCTATATGCCTACCAAAAGAACATGAGTTTAAAGAAAAAGCAGTAACCACAGCGGTAATGATGCAGCCAAAAATTTGATAAACTTCACGAGCTTTTCTTGTTTTTAAAGCTATTTAAAGTGCCTAGGCTTCCGCGTCGAAACACCTCATGGAAATAAAGTCAACCTCGGAACATTAAAGCTTGTAGCCTGACAATAAACGTAAAACATTTTGTCAAAGTCAATTTGAGCCTACCTGCCGACAGATTGAAATCCATTGTGTACTTGCCCAAGTAAGTTATCACAAACACTGACGAGATGTTTTTCCATACACATGGGAAACCTTGATTGACCGCTCTTACACCACGCCCCTTTCCCCTCACCGATGAGGTGAGTTTGGGTGATGCACTTATTTCTAATCAGATTTCTTCGCAATTTATCACTTCCTTTCAATTGCTAGGCCTACTTCATGTTTTGGTAACGCCTCCAGTAGCCTAATGTCCGTGAAGTCAGTAAACGTAGCATACTCGTGTGATATTCAGACCAGTGAACTTTGTGTTTTTAAGAGGAAACGTATGATAAATGACGGTGCCATTAAACATTTAAACTGACAACACGTTCATACATTAGGATATTTAATGATTACAAAGAATACAATATTGTGAATTTGAACAGAACAGAAGAAAACGGTTACATTTTGGTAATAGCCCTGCGTTTAGGGGTTTAGGCTACTTATGTAAAGGTAAACCTATTCGTCACACTCTTAAGATATTAAATAGTGAAAAACAGGTCACAAATCTCCAAGTTATTTTAAATTAGTAATTGAATCTATAGGCCCAAGTGTTTTCCTAAACGTGAGTGGAATAATGCAAAATAGAAAATATTTAAAGAAGACTGAATTAAATATTTGGGATTTAGAATCAAGATCATATAGTCTACAAAAAGATTTAGCCCCTTTTCAAACTCAAACATTCTGAGAATCCTCCTCACTGAATATCCTAGCAAGGAATTTTAGCTGGGCCTACTTGGAAAGGGTATACATCCGCCAGTGAAATCAGTTTGACCCAATTATAGAAGTTAGTGAGACTGTGTGTAATTATGAACACTATTAAATCAACATCTCTGTTAAATACATTTTAAGACTTTCTTAAAAGTAAGCCTATATAGCCTACAGATTGTTTGAAATCACTTGTGCATTGTGCAGCAGCCTCTTCACATGCTGATCTAACTGTAGCCTTAATTAGTGATTGGATGCACCTGTCGAGGTAACCACATGTAGAGAAATTCAACATGCATGTGTGACACCGAAATGTGTTGTCACATTTTGTTATTGTATTTGGTTATTTTGTATGAATATTATACAAATGTATCTATGTTTTGGTTAAAGAAGTTAGTTTGAAGCTGTTCCTGTATATGCCACAAGGGGGCAGCACCTCCCCTGCTGAGCGGGCTGCGCTCTGCTTCAGAAGCGAGAGAAGAGTGAACAAGTACAGTCAACTCAATGTGTTTTCTTTGTCTTTTCAGATATTCTTTAAGCTGTAAGCAGGTTCCATCCCGTACCTGTTACACATGTCTCAATTTGTACTGCAAGATGGATTGAAATGTCTGCAAAAATAATTGTTGAATGTTTGGCCCAACAATGATTCAATAATATTCTTCATGTAGAGTTTGAAGAACATTTCTCTGTTTCCTCCTCAGCTTGAGAAACTCTTCATCCTGTTAAAAGTCCTCCTCACTACTCATAACAGTTCTCTTAATGGCTAAGAAGCTTTTTGAATAACTTTTATCTTTACAAGGATGTAGTCTCAACTTTAAGCAAGAAATACTTAAAAAATGTTATGACTCTAATCCGCGAGTCTATTTTCACCGGAGTACGCTGCAGGCACGCGTCAAGCTGGACAGAATATGACAGCTCAGACAGGAAGTCAAACAAGGAAACGCACAGAGCATCCGGTCAATTTCAAAATAAAACAATATTCGGACTTGCGATCGTATTTTTCAACACTTTATCAACATTACGTCAAAACAGGTTCCGAATGAACAACAATGCATCCTCAGAAAGACAAAGCAACATGTTGTTTGCATGTTTTTCTCTTTATTCCCGCCGGATCTTGTAGTTCTCTTGTGATGTGTCATGGGTGCGCTCCGCTGCGTTGACGTCCCAGAAACGGATCCAGTGTGAATGGGCGCGAGCCGTCGACGGAGCAAAACCGTGGCGCTGACGTACCGCGGCTCGCATGGAGTATGTGTGAATTGGGGTCAGCCTTTGATTTAGCCTTATTAGTCTTGTGTTCTAATAAATCATTGAGGTGGTCTGCATAAGGGTCTAACTTTGTGCTGAACATGACAATATTGTTGTTTACATTTATAGATAAAGGTATTTTTCTGTTCATTATGTGTGACAGTGGGTATTTATTCATTCAATGACTTATGTTATCTGACTTGAAATTAAAGGATCCTGTTGTCCCTAAAGGAGCAGTTTAATCAAACAGCAGGGAAAAGATATGATTCAGATTGAAAACCAACCTCCTTATGGTTGTACTGCTGTATCCAGTTTATAAAGGAAGGCAACCACCAGATTTCATTTTGTTTGTTTATTTTGCGTGACAGAGAGTGGGTATTTAAAGGTGCACTATGTAGTTTTGGAAGAGAAATGTGAAAGTTTGAGCTTCTGAGGTATATGTTCATAACTCTATACGCAAACTTTCAGAGGAAAATGTGCTCCCTGGAACACTGAAGATAAAATGATACATGAGAAGTTGTGGCGGTGGGCCCGCAACAGTGAAACCGAAACTCACCTGGTAGTCTTTTAGCTCCAAACTGTTCCAGGGACCAATTTTTTTCTTTGAGTAAACTTTGTGTATTCAGTTAAAGAAAATTTAGCGTTTCATTATTCACTTCTCCGACTTTCAAATGTCACTACCAAAACTACATAGTGCACCTTTAAACATGAAGTGAGTCATGACTGATGTTATCTGACCTGTAATTAAAGGATCCGGTTGGCACTATCCTGTTGATCCTGTTGGCACTCTGGAACCTGTCAGAGAGCATTGTTGGGACTTCATCAATCAGCAGAATCATTGTTGAAACAGAGTTGTCTTGCAAGTTTAGTGTAACTGTGGGAACATGTCAGACCGCATTGTTGGGATTTCATTATTTAACAGAATCATTGCTTGAAGTGCTTCATCCTAATCATCCCAAAGTGATTACCATAAAAACACATGAAGGAAAACTACAACAAGAAAATGTTTTTTTGTTAAAACCAAGGGGCAATCTCCGGTCTCGAAAAATGAAGCCTATGCGGAAGTACAAAAAACTGCAGTTCCTCGAGGTTCCTCTTGAGGCTGGCTTCAGAAGCGCCGGAAGTGCCATAAGCCCACAGCCAAAAAAGCCCGTTTTTACCACAGGAATCAACATGTTTACAGCCTGGTTCAAAAAACGAGATATATCTGATAAGTTGACGGCCCCTTCTCCTCACACTGTGGGGGGGGGGGTGAATTTTTTTATAACTCATCGGATTTTATTCTATCAAGGAAAACGGCTATGCCCATATTTGGTTGTGTCAGATTTGATTGACAGCTCTGCGCGCTGCATCTGTCGGTCAGGTCAGGAGGCTAACAGCTTGATCCGTCTGATTTCTCCTCTTTCTTACTTCGTTTGGAGAGTTTGTTTAACACATATCTGACAACATACATGGCTTGCTGTGCGGTTAACAGACCATCCAACAAGTTGATGCTTCAGTTTTTTTCGGTAAGTGATATAGTAGTGTTATATTTACTGTATACTTGTGTGTCGGTATTTATATTTACGGACCTAGCTTGTTTAGCATTAGCTTGTAAACCAGTCGACTAACTGTGTAGCTCATTATTTACGGTCAATGGTTTAGAAATGTTTGTTGTTAAGATGTTGTTGTTGAAAATAATGAGTTTGTGTGATGTTAGAAGCTAAAGGTTCATCTCGGTTGTTAACCACAGACTGTAAATATGGTTATCTGACGTTATGATGAATGTTATACTCCACGTAAATGTGGACATTAAAAAACAAACTTTGTGTAGTAATTATCCGTCAGTAACATAAACTGAACTCAACTGAACCTAATGTGCTGTGTAGGTTATAGAGGATGACAGTAAAGTTACATGGTTGATGTAGTGTCTTAAGATTTGAGCAAACTGTTAACAAATTTAAAAAAAAAATGCACTTTGTAAGAGCATCTGTAACCATTAAGAACTATATTAATAACCATATTAATTTTCACTGAACTCATACACAGAATATAGCTGTAGAAATATAAAATATAAATAACATATGGAATGAAAATAAGATTTAAAGCACATAGATATAAAGTATAAGAAATAGTTTGAAGAATACAGCCATGTACCGAGCTCATGTTAATAATAAATGAGTTACTGTATGTTCTGTACTAAAGCACAGAGAGTTGGGACCTGTTAATGATTTAAATAATTCAGATTATATTTGTTTCATGTTAAGATGAAGTACTATCCACAATAAACTGCTTAATTTTTCCTCACAAAATCTGAGACAATTTGATGTGGAATATCATTGTGCAAGTGAGTGAGAGAGCTGAAAACAGCATGATTACAATAATGTTTATCTTCTTAACTTTGAATAGATGTTGATTATCTGAATACTGTACCTTTGTTGTCTGGGTAGTACACTGTTGAATTTATAAATGTGCTCTTACACACAGATGAATACAGAAAAATAGATGAGAACAAAAAAAATGATTTAATGAATAACTGATATTTTCTCTCTTTCTTTGCCATCCTGAAGACCCCTCACTTAAAGTCCATGTTCTCCTGGATCCATGTCACATGCTCAAGCTTCTTCAGAATTACTTTTCAACAGTCAAAGTTCTGGTGAGAGAAGATGGCCAGCAGATAAGACAGCAGTACATGAAGGAGCTCCACAGGCTTCAGGAGGAGGAGGGTTTGCACTTTGGAAGACTGTATTCATGCTGTTCAAATAAAAATAGATCTCCTCCAAACAACTTGCAATCAAACCATTTTCTTCCCATTTTAAAACCCTTTGTCCAGTTTAGATGGGAGAAGTTGATATTATGTGATATAGATCAGGGAAGACTACATTTCTAAATCATTTTTAACTGTGTTTTTATTCACAAGTTATTGATCTTATTTACTCTCCATGTATCTTGATTTAAGAATGGGGCTGTGTTTAAGGGCAAATTTTTGCAATGACTCTGTTCCATCCCACTTTCAGAAATGAACTACATTAGTATTTGGTAAAAGAAAATGTCGAAAGAATAAGAAGTTGTGTAAAAGTAGACTTCCTTCCCTAAGCTATTGAGTTGAGCATTAATGCACATTTTAGTCTTGTCATTTCAAATCTGAAATGTATACTCATAAGTAGACATAAAGGAGTGCATTTATATAGAAATATTTATTTAATCTGAAAAACAACATTAAAAAAAATCTGTTTTTACAGCAGAGATGAACATGTTTACAGCTTGGTACAAAACAAACAAATAGGTGTGATTAGCTCATGTCTCGATGGACACACACTGTATGGGGGTGAATGTTTTGATGACTCATCAGTTTTGATTTGATGAAGGATAAGAGTTATTCACGATAAGGCGTGTAGCTGACCAGCTTGACAGGCGGGCGCGGTGTAATGGTTTGTCAAGAGGCTTAAAACCCGCCTCAGCTCCAGCTCTCAGTCTGTGGGTGTCATCACTCAGGCCATCCGGGGGAGACCTCCCTCACAGTGAGCTGTTGAAGAGAAGCAACCAAAGTCCACCCCAGAAGAACCAACAAATGCAGATGTTGTTGAGGCTCAGGTTTCTTCCTCTGTCTCTGCAGCTCTCTGGGCACCTCGACGGACCAGTCACCAATAATCCACACTGTGTCTATAGGAGAAATACAAAGGTGTTCAATTAATGCCTCAGACAAGACAAAATGTACAGTTAACTACATGTGACAGCTCAGGCTGTTTTTTTGTTATTAGCCACATCTGCAGGAATAATATTGAACAAGGTAGCTGCAACTCATAATAATAGATGCCAGTCTTAAACACTATTTTTTCTAATACTTAGTTTTTGGTGTGAAGCTGACACTGTCCACAGACTCCATGACTTCACGGGGTTCTATAGAAAACAAATGTCTCATAATAAATACAAAATAATTATTTTTCACCTCATCGCTGTTGACATCAGTAAATATAAGACACAGCCATTCCTCTTTTTGTCAGAACAGTAACATGAACTGTATGCTTTGTAATATTGATTTCTTCTGGATGTCTCATATTTATTTACAGTTTATGGATAAAACTTTGTTAATGTATTTCTCTGCTAACACTGACAAAGTCTAACTGCTCTGACAAATAACTAATAACCATGATTGTATATTTAAAAAAGTGTAGTTTTAAGACTTTAATTAAATATTTGAGTTGAATATAATTAGTTTTAACTGTGTTGTAGAAAAGTTAAATGTTAACTTACTGTTTGTAGAGTTTTCTCAGGACGAGCAGGAATAGAGGATGATAGCAGCCTAGCTGTTAGCTATGCTGTCAAGTGGACTGCTAACGTCGAGCTGAATGGGCGGAGTTAAGTCCCGCCGGTCCCGCCTTACTGCTGTCGTTAGGTTGATCCGAAGTTAGGTTGAATCTGCAAATCCAATATGGATGCGGCCGTCGATTGGACTCATTTTCTGCCTATGTAACAGACGGGTCAGGGTTCGTCCAGTAATATTTACAGTCTATGGTTAAAACCCTTAAAGGAGCACTCTTGGGCGGCAGTAGCTCAGTCTGTAGGGACTTGGTTTGGGAACCAGAGGGTCACCAGTTCAAGTCCTGGTATGGACCAAATATGGAAGTTGGTCTGGTAGTTGGAGAGGTGCCAGATCACTTCCTGAGCACTGCCAAGGTGCCCTTGAGCAAGGCACAAAACCCCCTACCACCAACTCTGGAGCACACGCTGTCAGCATCTCTGTCACTCTGACATCTCTCCATTAGTGCATGTCCATAGGATCCTGTTTGTGCATGTGTGTATATTTCAGCCTATGTGTGTGTTAACAGAGCATAAAAACAGAAATTTCACCTTGTGGGGATCAATAAAAGTAAACCTAATCCCTTATCAAACAACAGGGGAAATGATTTTGACAGTGGGTATTTAAATATGAAGTCATTCATCAACGATGTTTATCAGTCCTGTAATTAAAGGATCCTGTTGGCACTCTTGAACCTGTCAGAGAGCGTTGTTGGGATTTCATCAATCAGCAGAATCATTGTTGAAACAGAGTTGTCTTGTGAATTCAGTGTAACTGTGTGCTGCTAGAGTTTTTTAACCTAAAATGCTCTTCAGTGAGCAAAAATGAAAATCATACTTGATACTAGTACTTTTAGACCAACATACCTACTGTATTATTGTGCTTTTTTCACATCTACATGAAAAATTAACCACAGCTATAAAATAAATCAAATAGAAATAGATTTAAAAAATAAACTTCAGATTGAACTCCTCCAAATTAAAAGAATTCTGAAATAGTTTTTTTTTCTTTAGATTAATTTTATGGGATTTTCTGACTTGTGATAAGAGTGGAAAGAGTCGGGTATTGAGGAGAGACAGAGAGTGGGGAATGACATGCAGATAAGGAGGGACAGGTTGGATTCAAACTCAGGCCTGCATTGTGGACTCCAGCCTGTGTACATGGGGGGTGCAAACTAACCACTTGGCCACTTGTAACAGTTGAAATTATGGAATATACCTTTAAGACATACTGTGTTGCTAAGTTAGGGTAGTGACATCACTAGAGGTGGCTTGATTTTATCCTCAAAGTTAGTTTGAGTGGTGCTTCTGCCATGGATGGATGCCTGTAAACAAGCTCATTCTTACCTCTACCTTGTGTTTTTAAGTATACCTGGCTATTAAAGCTGATTCTGATTCTGACACATACACATCGTTCTGCTCGCCCTGAAATCCTTGCTCCACTAGTTTCCTGTGTAACATGTCCTGGACATGCAAAAAGGGGTGAATAACTTTACTATAGCTAACGGAAGCTCACCACCCATTAGTTAACTAGACTACTCTTTCCTAGAACTAAGTGAGAGCTCACTCCCTACCAGCCGCTAGTCTAGTCTTTCCTAGTACCTGGAGCTATGTAAAATTACTCCGCTAACACCCTTTGGAGGACAGAGGACAAGTTATTTCTAGAATAATTAGATTCAAGAATAACCCCTGGTATACGACTCTAGATTACCCCCCGGAGAGGGAATAACTGTAATCTCTCCCCGCTAGGATGTTAGATGTGTATGAGGTGTGTAGTAAAAGTCAGTAGAAGTGTGCCGTGGTGTGACTGCTCAAGCTTACCTTCCGAGGTTCACGGGGTCCTTAAGGGAGACTCCGGTCTTTGTGGTGTGAATGATTTCAGTCAGAAAATGATTTCAAAAAGTTTCCAAAAATGTATTTAAAAAACTTCAAATGATATTCCAAATGCAAATACAAAACAATAAAAGTAAAAATGTAAAAAGTAAAAGTGAAGACCAAAGTCTAAACCCGAGAGTGTAGACACTTGAGGTTTTAAAAGATCTTGGTCTCAGAGACTAAGTCCCAAAACGGGAATTTAAAAGTCAGAGTGACGTGGAGTCCTTTAGAAAAGCCAAAAAAGAACCTCGATCAGCTTTTCGACAGCCTTTCTATAGCCAAACTGTCTCTTTTTTCCAAGATTCTGTAAAACCTCAACAATGCATATTAGCAGAAACCAGATACATCTACAGGTGATACCAAGTTCATATGTGGTTTTAGCTTGAAGACCGGGAACCGGGCAGATTCCCAGAAACGCTATACACCCACGAGTTTGTATGTGGTTTTGCTCAAAGTATGGCACACTTATCCTGACCTCACAGGTGCATAGGCACCACGGATTTGTGCATGATTGACAGGATATGTAAAAGCAATAAAAGGAGTTATGACTATATGACATATGAATTAAAGGATAAAATAATTAAATGATAATAAAAGAAAAAGAACATATATGGTAAAAACAAATTCAACAATTGCCTAACTCTTCCTGATCTTTCAACACCTGTTATGGGCTGGTGACAGCAGAGGGTCAAGTGAAAAGTCAAATAACTTACTTTTGAGTTAAGAACAAATCAGTTTAAATGTTTTTTGCGGTAAAATATTTTATACAGTCATCCTTTTTGTAAACTAGACATTTTAAAGTTGTAAAAGATGTGGCTGTGTTTTGTTCTACCTTGGGTAGGGGTATCTTGAAAACAAACACCTGTTTGGGGGGTCTACTATAGTTACTTATTGTGGAGGTCATGTCCATTACTGCAAGGAATTTTACATGAGTTTGTAGAAGAACCCCCCTCAGTGTGTATTTTAGTTGTGAGTGGTTAGCAATAACTTGCATTACAGTAAACTGAACTTAATATTCTAATTAACATTTTATTTACCCACCATTTTTCCCTACGTATGGCTCCCATTTGTGTGTTTTTGTCATTTTTACTCTGTGTTATGTTTTGAAGTTTTATTGTGTTTATATACAGTATATAGTCATGCTTGGTCAGAAAAAGGTGTGTTTTTAATTTGACTATGCACTTAAACTCAGAAATGAACCGCCATTTTATTAAACAATTAAAAATCACAATTTTACTGTGAATGGAACAACATACCATTACAGTTATATTCTGTAATTTAGTCAAATGTGTCAAATATGTTAAATAATTTGGCACCAGTGAGTACTTCATCGTATTAAATAACGACACAGCAATTTAACATGCTGCATCAATGTAGGTGGCAGAATTCTGCAAACACATTTCAACATAATGTAGTCTAGTGCAACAATACTCCAATCTAAGACCCAGTGATGAACTAAGCAGTGACACTCTGTCATAACTTGTTAGTCACTATTTAGCAAAGCCAAAGCATTTCAGTTTGGGGTCATTTATTCTGTGCCACATAAGAAACATTTCAGCTATACTGAACCTGTGAACCAGTAGAATTTCCCTAAAAAAGCAAGGGTCATACTTATCTATATTGTTGGAGGGTATATACAGTCCTGCAGTCTTTACACCGATATGTGAAACAGGACTTAGTCCTGCTTTGGCCAGGCACATTCCCATGTAAACATCATCAATGGGAAGTAGGGCAGTAGACTTGGACATGTTGTATATGACCAAAGCTGTGTAACCAGATAAAAAGAAGCCCCCACCACCACAGTATGGGGGATATGAGTCTGATTCCTGCACCTGAACTGGAATAAAATACTTGCTCCATGGTATTCTAATTGGCCCAACAGACTGGATCAAATGTCCAGTAAAGAGGTGCTTGCTTCCATCATTGTCCTCAAGGCCTTGGAGATACTTGACCACGTTGTTTGTGTTTACAAAGACGTCATCATCACCATTGAATAGGAAACGTACTTTTGGACAATTTCTTTCCATCCATTCCAGAAAGAGTATCTGCTTCAAGGTGAGGTTGTAAAATGTATCACAGAAGTCCCATTGAAGAATGTCATTGTGCTTACTTTGCTCCAACTTGAGAACTTTGTTCAGTCTTTTCTTCTCAAAACCAGAACCTGTTGTTCCTGAGATGAAGATACGTCTGGTCCATACACCGTTCTTTAACCTCTCATTTGCCCAGGTCTTGCGCAGTATCTCTCTGCGGTCGTGGTTATGTGGAGGGCTTTTGATGACCAGCAGAAGAAAGACTCCTGAGGATTGATCAGCTCCTCTACATTTGTCAGGAAGATCCAGTAGTATGGGAAAATGTCTACAATGTTTATAATATAGAAAGTCTTTTATATGATCAGGAAGTGAGCTGAAGCTTGGGATGTTGTTAGCAGTCATGTTTAGTTCACAACCTGGCAGAAATCATGTCAAGTGTTTAATGTGCAGTCATGACTTCAGAGATATATTATAATTTATAATTCTATAAAATTATTTCATGTATTAATTCTCTGTTTTTAATTTATTACAAATAATTGGAAAACAAATATAAATGAGTTTATTTACTGTGAATAATAAGAAAATGAGCAAGGATACTTGAACTATTTTGTTTCATTCCTGCCTTCAAGAACAACCCCATTTGGTCACCATAGGTAATTTCTCTTCCACTAATAACATCTGTGGTGTACAACAAGGTTCAGTTTTAGGTCCAATTTAATTCTATAACCACATGCTACCACTTGGTCATATTAATGAGTGCCCCAAAATATTGCTTTGCAAATATTACAGTAAACCATTCTTTGAGACCTGTTGACCCTTAGGCCTATAACGTATGTCAGTTGAATTTTACAAACATTTCTGCAACTCAATAAATCAAATTCAGTGTTTATATTGTTCAGTCCACATACGTTAATCAGTCTTAATGAGAGTTGCCTTGGTGCCCTAGCAGCAGCTAGGCTTCTTGTCTGGGTCTGGCTACAAGCTACATATCAACATTGTCATCATCATCTTCCAGCCGGGGTCCGGGAGGCAGACACAGTCTGTATTTTTAAGAATAAACTTAAAACTTTCCTTTTTGATAAATCGTATAGTTAGGGCTGCTGCTGGTGTAGACCAGCTCCTAGTTATGCTGCTATAGGCTTAGACTACCGTGGGAACTGGCACCTTGAGCTCCTCTCTCTCTCTCTCTCTCTCTCTCTCTCTCTCTCTCTCTCTCTGTGCATATACAGTACATCATATTACTGCATGTATCTATCTGTAAATCTCAGTCACTAACCAGCTACTTTCCTGGGAGCTCTTGAGCTCTCATAGGCTCCTCGAAATCATTGGTTGACGGCCTGCTTTTTGTAACATAACAATGAGTATGGTCTTTTACCTGCTTTTTGAAACATAACAATAAATAAGGTCTTTTACCTGCTTTTTGAAACATAACAATAAGTAAGGTCTTTTACCTGCTTTTTGTAAAGTGTCTCCAGATAGCACTTGGTATGAGTTGACGCTATACAAATAAAAATTGTTTGACTGATTGATTGTTGACTTAAGAGCCAGCTCACAAGCTAATATTATACATAGGTGGGGCCCTATGGCAAAGTACGACATTAACACTTACTCAGCCTGTTTGTTAGTGTTCTGTGGTATTCAGTGGAGTATTTATTTTGTTAGTGTGTGTCTCTGTGTGTTTTAAAGTGTTTTAATTAAGAACTGCCAATAAAGATTACTTGTTATCAGCACCTAAAAAAGCTGGTGATTAATCTGAATTCTACAATATTGCTATATTTTTCAGACAAAATGATGACTAATCACTCATGGCAGAGGTTCTGTGGTTGAACCTTGCAAAGCCTCTTCAGAAAATGTTGATGAATTTGAAAAACCTTTTTGTTTCATTATATCTCAAAAAAGATGTAAAGGCTTGGAAATTTTTTAATATATTGCCCTTGGCTAATGTTGTTTCCCTTTATCAATCACAAAATAAAAGATTTGCTTCTTAATTTAATTGTAATGTACCTATAGAAAATGTCAATAAGCTCAACCTCTTTGAAAGCACATTAAAACTGTGTAAAAGAGTTATCATTTGATCACAAGTAAAGCTATGATTAAAATAACTTTAAATGAACCTTCATTAAATCATGATATTTTTGTGTTTCTATAAATAGAAAAATGAAGCACAACAATAAGACAATCCTCATTCAATGATAATTACCTGAACATTTTGGACGATCAGTGCGGGCGTTTGATAGTCTCTCTCTGCGTCAACAGTCAGATGTCTGCAGGCTGCTACTTGTTTGAGTGTTTGTTAGGGTTTGACACGTTTCTCAGAGTCGTCTTTTGTCCTGCCCTTTCTACTGATAAAGACATAGCAGTCTACAACTATTCAGACTGGTGGCATGGGTAGCGCCCAACGGCTCCTTTTATTCAAACAGGCTGTGTGTCGGCTGTAGCAAGCGTCTTCTGTAATCCCTTTTTTCATGAGTTTTTCCCTAGAGGTATATTATGCAACATTTTAAACACTCATTTAGCAAAACTCAACTATATCCTAACATAAATCATATTATTAGTTAGTTGACTTAAGTAAAAAAAAGATTCAAGAAAAAAGGTGTGTTGTTCTTCGCTCAGTGTTCCCACTGTTGGGATGGGGCTTCCCTCAACTTGTTTATGTTTCAAATATGTTTCATGAATGATTTTTAATTGAACTGCTCCCTGTCCACACGCTAACCCTACCTCAATGCGGGTACCTAGGAACACTGAGGCCAAGTTTATTATCTTTTGGCTGCAGACAAACATATTGGCAAATAGGATTACTTGGTTCTTACAGTTCTCGGTCTGCCCATGCAGGTTATAATAATAACAGGCAACATACAGGATACCTCTAGGTTATTTATTGCCCTGGGTACTTCCTCTCAGGGGGAACTTATGCATTGGTAGATTACCATTTCAAACAAGCTCTTTCTTATTCAAACAGTTTAATGTACAGGACAACATTTTGACCCCTTTTTTGGGGTAAACTAAATAATGGGTTATTCAGATTGTGGGAGATGAAACTGGTAATTCAAAACTGCCTGAGAAGACAGAGCAGGAATGCATGTAGACGTCGATAATGATAAGACCTTATTGCATTTATCTCTTCATTTGTTTTCCTCAAAGTTTGGAAAAAAAAAACATTCTTACTATTGTCATCAATTTTGTTATGCTCATATAAGCAGAGGCCAATCAGTTCAGTTGACATAGTCAGACAGTAACATGTAGCGTACAAAGAAATCAGCCTACTAAATTACAATTAAAAAAACACAAACAAGGAGCACTCTCGACAGTTAAACACAGTAAAAGGTGCACAACCGTAACAAGACTAGAAAGAGACAAAAAGTCAGCACACAAATGTCCTTCATTAGAGCTGGTGAAGGCCTAAGTGCCAAAATGCATCCGTTGCTGCTGCCGGATAAAAGAAAGCTAAAGGACATTTGTGTGCTAACTTTTTGTCTCTTTTCATTAAATGATAATTACCTGATCATATTGGCAGATCACTGGGAGAGCCCGATTTGTCTCTCTGATGGTAAGTAGTCAATCTGTGCATGCTTCAGTGGTGACATGTGACATCTATTGCCCAATCCAGAATGTTGAGTAGGCGATGGGAATGAAGGAGATAGAAGTTGCTGGCAGGTAAAGATGTCAGAGCTGACTGAGAAGACAGAGTAGAGACTAACAATCATGTGGAAATCATAATGACAGCCTTGGTATTTGAGTTGTAGGACTTAACCTTTACAAACTGTTCATATTTGATGCCTTTACACTATGGTCAGGGTCAAGTTTGACCTGTTCAGAAATTCCTTTATAGCAAAGTATCTTTAAACTGAATACTTTTTAATTACAGATCTTTATAAATGTATAAATAGTCTATTTTGCATTAATTCATGGATGATAAATCCTTATTTAATGTTTCAGAGAGCAGGAAGAGTGTTATTCTGTTTTTTTTTTTTTTAACAACACTTTTCACAAAATATTGTGTCCTATTATACCAAAGACATGAATGTATAACAGCCATAATGATTGAAAAATATTTCACTGTAAATGAAAATGGCAACAACATTCTGGAACTTTTGAGGATTATCATATAACCATGCATAACCTTTACAACTATTAAATGGGGTGGCAGTAGCTCACTTGGGTTGGGAACAGGAGGGTCGATGTAAATCAAGTCTAGAAATTGGTCTGGTATTTGGAGAGGCGCCAGTTCACTTCCTGGCACCTGAATTTTTTTGTTTTTTTTGCTTCGTTTCAAGGTGGGAAAGGGGCTTCAGTTGTTTAGGGAGATAATTCAAAACAGCATTGTAAGTTGGTGAAAGATGGTGTCACAGCCCACCACCTCGGTTAAGGGATGGTGATGTCTTCAAGATCTTCAACCAGTCCAGTTGCCTTTGGATCAAGCTTTGAATTGACCATGAACTGGATGACTGAGCTCCTCATGAATGTTTGGTCAGGCACCCTCTGACCACTGTGACTTCTGTTCTGTGCATCTCTTCCACAGTCAGTGTGTCATTTCAGTGCAATCGCTGCGACCCTTCTCCGCCCCAGTCACCTCCATTACAGCTAGGAGGGGTCCGGATACAGCCTCAGAAACCCACTCCTTATCTCATCCTGCATTCCTTAATCACCACCATCACCAGTGTCTAGACTCTATCCTATCCTGCTGTCGGCCTTATTACCCCGTCGTCATGATGGAGTCCAATTAATACATTTTTATCTTATAATACTCCTGATTATTATAATTACAAGAATTATATGGTAGATTAATTAAACTCTTGTTTTGTAAATGTTGGCACAAATATACCATAATACAATATAATATATATCTTACTTAGGTAGTAAAGTCTCAAATTCAATCTTTGTGGAAAGACTGAACTTGAGCTCCTTAATATTGTAAATAAGTGTATTGTGATAAAATCTCCACGGATAGTGATGACATAGATCTGTTTATAATAAAGAAAACAATTCACTGCATTTGCAAACATTTAACTGATAATACATCCCTTCAGACTGGCATATTCCCAGACAGGATGAACATTTTAAAAGTTATTTCCTTGAATAAAACAGGTGATGTCCACAATGTTATCACTGAATGTTCTTTGTCCCCAGGAGCAGCTCTCTGTATTTAGGAGGCTTTGTGAATACGGCCCCAGCTTCTTTGTTGAAATAATGTTAAATTATTCTTGCTTAACTGGCAGATTTTTAAATTATATCCTGAAATGCAAAATAGTTTTCTTCAATGATATAAATAGAGTAGAGTAAAAAGTAGGCTAATAAGAGTGGAGTAGAAGGCTGCATACAAGTTCTTTCTAAATACCTCAACATTTGACTGAAGTGCATCACTTCTTGAACTGGTTATATTCAACCACTAGTTGTCAAATAAACAATAGCGTTGTGTGTATTATTTTAGTTTTCTCTCTCTCTTGTGCTGCTTCTTGTCTATCACAATAAAAACAGATAAAATGGAAACCTGGAACAGCTTGTCTATCATGTCATATCATAAGTAGCTTATTTAGTTAAAGAATGTTATAATGCTACAAAGATTATTGTAATAATAACATGGAAGAAAACTCAGAGTAGACAGACTACAATATGAAGTATACTATTGTTCATGAATTTAAAAAACACTTGTATGCTTGTGCTAACAGTAACCTTTCCATCTAAATGAATCTGTCCGGGGAGAAACACAATCTTTAATCATCTGCTTCGAAGATACATTCTTTACAAGGATCAGACTCTTCTTACTTTTAAGAAATGGAAAGGTAAACCAGTCTATTATAAATTAAATATAGACACACATACCACAATATGAGCTCTTCTTCAAACAAATATATCATAACTGTTTTATTCCACAAAGAAAGCATTGTGAGCTAATGCATTTGATCATAAATTTACATTTCAACCCAAAATATAATTTTCTTAATTTTGTATTTCTTCAACATCTTCTCATGTCACAATGCATCTTTACCCAGTAACCTGAATCCCACCACAAACCACACAATAACCTTTTCCTTTTATTTTGTAAGTTGAGCCATAATATTTGTTGTTGTTTTACACTCAACATCCACTAATGTTATGTGAGCAATTCTTTTTTTTTTTGTAATTAGGTAACATTTCTTTTGATCTATGATATGGTATTATTGGTAAGGCCTGGGGCCTCTCAGTAGATCATAAGAGGTGAGGTGAGGGGTGGAACGGGTGCCTCCATCTCCTAACCTTCTTGGACTCCCCATCAGCGACTCCATGGGGCTGGGAGGTCTGCGGATGGAGCCCCGATCTCCAATACTCAGTAAGGAACTAGGGACAGAGGTTTTAGAGACTGCTGAAGGGCTCAAAGGATCCAGCTTCACCATGGGTTTGGAGGGGAGGGACACATAGGAGACAACTGAAGCACTACCAGGCTTAGAGCTGCTGCCACTGTCAGCTGAAAGTCTCCCAGCATCTGAACCTGGAGTTTCCATTTTTGGCTCACAACTTTGATCACCATCATCCTGGAATGAAACCAAAATGAACATCAAACATGAAGGATACATGAAAGCAGAGTCAGAAAGATGTTCACACAACATTCAAACTGGGCCCCAGCTCCTGGGCTCACCGTCCCAGAAGCACACATTCACTGCTGGTGTGTACATTTACCGCACGTCATAGATGTATCATAGAATGGAAACAGCACTGGAGGCATGTAGCAAAACAAATTTGACTTCCATTATGTCTACAAACATATCTCTATATCTGCATTGTACAATTATTCAAGGACTTGTATTTGGAAGTTGATGTACTGAAGAAATAATAATAACACACTAATTTATAGAAGTCTCTTTCCCAATGGAAGCTTATGGGATTAAGTCTTTTTGGGCCTAAGGGCATCATGTGACGCTCCAACACCAGGTTGGGCTCACTTCCTTGGTGCTTGATGTACAGTTGCAATCAAAATTATTCAACCCCCATTGCAAATTAGGTTTATTGGCAAAATTTACAAACTTTCGGCTCTTTGCAATGAACAAACCAAACAACAACAATTTTAAGAGCTTTAGACAATTGTTATTATTATTGGTTTCAATTAGTTCCATCAGGTGTGCCTGAAACACATCAAATACCTGGTCTGACAAGGAGTTTGTTGACAGTGACAATTGGTTGCATGTGAGAAACATGGCTAAATCAAGAGAATTGTCCAAAAAGGTAAGAGAAGAAATCATTGTCTGGCACAAACAAGGAAAAGGATACAAAAAGATAGCAAAGGCACTGAATGTTCCTAGAGATACTAGAGTTGGAAGCATAGTTCACAAGTTTAAAGCTAAAGGAACTGTGGCTACACTACCTGGACGTGGCAGAAAGAGGAAGCTATCAATGGCTGCCGTCAGATTCCTGAGAAGGCAAGTGATCAAAAACCCTCGAGTGACTGCAAAAGACCTGCAGCAAGACATGGTGGCAGCAGGCACTGAGGTTTCTGTTTCCACAGTTAGGCGCATACTAAACGCTGAAGGTCTCCATGCCCGAACTCCAAGACGTACACCACTACTGACCCAAAAGCACAAAAAAAGCCGGCTCCGATATGCTAAAAACCATATAAATAAGCCACAGAAGTTTTGGGATTCTATTCTGTGGAGCGATGAAACCAAAGTGGAACTTTTTGGGCCTATGGATCAGCGGTCTGTCTGGAGAAGGAAGAATGAAGCATACACTGAGAAGAACACCCTGCCTACAGTGAAGCATGGCGGGGGCTCTATGATGCTCTGGGGCTGCTTTGCTTCCTCTGGCACTGGCAACCTTCAGCGTGTAGAGGGAAAGATGGATTCAATAAAATATCAGGAAATTCTAGGAGAAAACGTCATGCCATCAGTGAGGAAGTTGAAACTTGGTCGTCGTTGGACCTTCCTACAGGACAATGATCCCAAGCATACCTCAAAGTCCACCAAGGCTTGGTTTCAGAAGAAGTCCTGGAAGATTCTGGAGTGGCCATCACAGTCGCCTGATTTGAACCCCATTGAAAATCTCTGGTGGGACTTGAAGAAGGCAGTTGCAGCACGCAGACCCAAGAATATTAGAGAACTGGAGCAAATCGCCCATGAGGAATGGGCTATGATTCCTCAGGAACGCTGCCAAAGGCTGGTGTCTGGCTACGCATCACGTTTGCAGCAGGGCATAACAGCAAAAGGGTGCCCTACGTAGTACTAAAGATGCTTGTCATAAAGGGGTTGAATAATTTTGAGACTGCAGCAGGCATTAAAAGTGGCATTTTGTGTTGAACTTAGAGAAACCACTGATATTATTAGTTGTGTTGAGCTATGTAAATTGTGCTTTTTTGATTTGTTCATTGCAAGCAGCTGAAAGTTTGTAAATTTAGCCAATAAACCTAATTTGCAATGGGGTTGAATAATTTTGATTGCAACTGTATGTACTTAAACTTCAAACTACCGTGCACTAACACAAGCTAACCACTGGTGTTTTGTTGTGTTTTGTGGTGTTCAACAGAAAGCAGGCTAACTCCATGCAGTGCCTGAACGCTAACTCAAGGTTCCCCCTCACTTTAGAACAAGCTTTATTTGCTCGCTTGCTTAAATATTCTCTGCAGCTATGTCCATGTCAGTCAGTTGGAATCGCCTCCAATTGCTGAGTTAACACCATAATATCAAGAAAAAAACATATTATCTTTTTATTACAGTCAGTTTCACTTTCTGATCCTCCTGAACTCTGAAGGCCACACACAGAAGCAAAAAAATAATAATTTACACCTCAAATGGCTCATAGTCTGCTGATTTTAACATGTTATAAGAAATGTACCTTTTTATTTTTCTTCTTGTCCTTCTCTTTTTCATTTTCCTTGTTGCTGTCACTGGAACTATCAGATGAACTTGATGACTTAGAGCTTGAGTCCTGCAGAAAGATAATACAACCCTCTATCATCTATAATAATAAATAAAATATAGAAGCATTCATTTGTTCTTCTTGAGCACAATTTAACTTACCTTCTTCTTGTCCTTCTTCTTCTTGTCCTTCTTCTTGTCCTTCTTCTTCTTGTCTTTCTTGTTTTTCTTCTTCTTATCATCATCACTACTAGAAGAATCCGAGTCCTTGATAAAGTAAATGTATTTCTTGAGTAAATTAATTACTGCATTGCTGTTTTACCCCCAGAGATACCCCATTCAAAACACTTAAATATAGTACTATGAAGTACTGTATAGTAAAAACATGTTCATTAACCTTCTTCTTCTTCTTTTTTTTCTTCTTTTTCTTATCATCATCACTGGAGGAATCTGAACTAGAAGAATCCTAAACAGACAAAAAGATCATTATTTGCTTTTGTTTTAAACATCTGGAAATGTAGAGAACATCGTCTTCTTAAGTGAATCCACATTTTGACATTTTGCCACTTTCACTGTGTTTGATATGTTTTGGACATTTTTGTTAAATTTGAAGAGTTTACATTGTAAACAAACATTTTCTTTGTTACTCAAATGATCAACTAGATTCTTGGAATGGAAGTTGATTGATTTGTTCTTACCTTCTTTTTCTTCTTCTTATCCTTCTTTTTCTTCTTCTTCTTATCTTTCTTCTTCTTTTTCTAAAGAATGTAGACGATTAAGTGTTGAGGAACAACCTCGTTAAACTGAGTTGATGTGGTTGACAGATCTCACCTTGTCATCATCACTATCAGAAGAAGAGGAAGATGAACTTGAACCAGAAGAGGTGCTATCATCAGATGAGCTGGTCTTTAAAAAGGAGTTTGTTTTTAGTTAACTTTAATGAACTACAACATAGACAACTGAGCTGTCTTTGAAACAACACCTTTACAGCTTTTCAATATTAAAACGACTTCTCAAATGTGCTTTACCTTCTTCTTCTTCTTCTTCTTCTTCTTTGACTTCTTTTTCTTCTTCATCTTTTCATCATCAGAGGATGAGGAATCAGAGGAGGAAGAGCTGGAATCCTGTATAGTTGTAGAGAGAGAGAAAACAAAAAGAATGATACCATAAAGCTGCAAAACTACAGTCAATGCAGGACCCTAACCCTAATGTAATATTAATGTCAATCATTTGCAGATTTATTGAACCTTCTTCTTCTTCTTAGTCTTTTTCTTCTTCTTTTTCTTCTTTTTCTTGTCCTCTTCACTTTCAGAAGATGAAGAAGAGGAGGAAGAGCTGGAATCCTGTAGAGAGAGAGAGAGGGAGAGAGAGATACAGAGGAAGAGAGAGGGAGACAGAGAGAGCGAGAGAGAGAGAGGGAGAGATAGAGAGGGAGAGAGAGAGAGATAAAGAGAGAGAGAGACAGAGAGAGGGGTGAGAATGACATAACACCACACAGCATACACCTACAAACAATGCTAAACTATACCTTACAAAATTCCCAAACAGAAAAAAATGATTGTAGGAGCCAAAATGCTTGTTTTATTTGATCCTTGCAAGAAACCTAACAGAACACTATGAATTTGTATGAGTGTAATTCTGACACTGAACACTAGGTGGAGTCTTGACTTATGCTGTGCATAAAGCCGAGGCTCCAGGTAGTTGGATTCAGGTGTGTTTGGAGGCATATAGTTTTTTGACCGTGTCGGGTTGACTTGGATGTAACAGTTTATGCTTTATGATGTATTGGACAGAATGGGACATTTATTTGCATTAGTGAACCCCGATAAACAGATTGAAGACTCTATTGGAAAAGAGTATCAGACATTTGTTTGTTGCAACGCCAGGTGCACGTGTCCGGAAATAGTTCCACAGCTCACATCTCAGTGGTGACTGCTTTGGACATTATAGGGTTTGTTTTAAAATGGTTACCACATTAAGTCAAAAAACTATATGCCTCCAAACACACCTGAATCCAATTACCTGGAACCTTGGCTTTATGCACAGTATAAGTCAAGACTCTTCCTAGTGTTCAGTGTCAGAATTACACTCAAATACAAATTTGCAGTGTTGTGTTGGGGTTTCTTGCAAGGATCAAATAAAACAAGCATTTTGGCTCCTACAATGATCATCAATAAATGAAGTGTCTAAATGAAATGACAGACATTATGAACCTTCTTCTTCTTCTTCTTCTTTGTCTTCCCTTTCTTCTTTTTCTTGTCATCTTCACTATTAGAGGAGGAAGAAGAAGAGGAGGAGGAGGTACTGGAATCCTTCAGAGAAAGAAAGATAAATAGAGAGAAAGATAGAGAGAGAGGTGAGAAGGACATAATACAAACTAAAAGAAAAACATAAGTAATGCAGAGAGCCAAACCTTTTTCTTCTTTTTCTTCTTGTCATCTTCGCTGTCTGATGAGGAGCTATCAGAGCTGGAGCAGTCCTATATATCAAATGAAACATCCACAAACATTATTATCTCTAAATAAATGTATAGAAAATATGTTTTTATTGTGATGCCAGGTTAAACAATCTAAGCACTGTGACTTTTGTAAACCTTTTTCTTCTTGTCTTTTTTCTCATCTTTGCTGTGTGAACTAGAATCCTGTTAAAACACATTAAGTGTTTTTTAAACAGAATTAATTTTGATCCTAATTGTTATGTAACATAAATCCACCATTCAGGAAATGTTGTGATATTACACAGGTGTGATAATTGAATGATACATTTTCTGAATACCCTTTTCTTCTTTTTCAACTTCTGCTTCTTTTTATCCATCTCCTCTCCTCCTTCTCCCTCGTCATCGCTGAGGTGGCCGTCCTCAGCAGTACCAGGCAATACCTGCAATCCTTCCCCTGGACAAGAAAAATGATCCCAACAACAAATCAAAATACATTTTCAAGCCTCCGTCAGATGCTTGATTTGTGTAAGAGTAAAACACTTACCAGCCAATGTAGAGGAGAGTTTGTCTTTGAGCTCCTTCTTGGCCTGTCATTACAAAGAGAAACATCAATTTCTTTGAGTGTTCTTTATGTCTTTATATACTGTATCTGTTGCAGAATGACTTAAACCTCAAGGAGCTGCTGTCCTTAAAAGTTTTTAAATCTAAAATGAAAGTCATGGAAGCAGATTCTACAGGATGTCGATGTTTTAGCTCGGATGTTTGAACAACTGATTCCCAGATATGAATTTAATCCAAAATGTTGTGCTTTTTAAATTGTACTTTGTCTCTCTTTGTATTTCCGTCTGTAACTTTGTGTTTTTGCTGCTACCTGTCTTGGCCAGGTCTCCCTTGAAAAATATGTTTTTAATCTCAATGGGACCAACCTGGTTAAATAAAAATAATAAAATATACAGTAAGAGTATTTCACCTTATCTGTGTCCTCATCTTCCTTTTTATCTCCTTCAGTACTTGGTCCTGCAATCTCACCACCTGTAAAATGGACCAACAACACCACATTAGTCTCATGGAGTGTGATTGTTTTTCACATTAAAGTGGAAACACTCACCAGCTGTTGACAAGGCACTAACACTTTTGGGTTTCTTCTTTCCTTCATCCTGTGAAAAGCAGAAAAAACATCAAGCAATAATCAATACAATGCTGTGCATACTGTAATTACAAAGACAGATCTGAGTCTACAGAGCAGGTCTTGACAGGGGAACACATGTTCAGTGTGTTTAAATGTTAGGTAGGTTGTCTACCGTTACCCCCCCCCCCCCCCCTTCCAAATACATTTGAGGATTATACTTCATAAACAAAACAAGAAAGGGAATTACCTTATCCTTCTTTTTCTTCTTCTTCTTGTCCCTTTTCTTCTTCTTTTTCTTCTTATCATCATCACTTTCAGATGATGAGGATGAAGTGCTAGAATCCTACGTCAACAGAAAGCGTTTTTTAATCTCAAATCAAAGAGAAAGAATCAATTTCACATTCATGCATAAATATGTGCAACATTACTATTTAATCCAACAATGTGAATTGATCAGAACATACATCACAAATAGATATTAAATTAAATATATGTTAGTGGGGCCCTGGTGGTTCAGAGGTTAGTGTGTGCGCCCCGTGTATGGAGGTTGTGGTCCTCCAAGTGGGTGGGTTCAAATCCGGCCTGTGGCTCGTTTCCTGCATGTCATTCCCCACTCTCTCTCTCCCTGATTTCTAATTCTATCCACTGACCTATCTCTACATTAAAGTCACAAAAATAAAAATAATATCTTTAAAAAAAATAAAACATATGTTAACATATGTTAGTATGTACACACTTCTTACTCATCCCAGTTTCTTTACACTTTTCTTTTCTGGCCTCATTGGATATAAGACAAAAACCATCCACATTTATTTACCTTCTTTTTATCTTTCTTTTTTTTCTTTTTCTTGTCTTTTTTCTTCTTCTTTTTGTTATCCTCACTGTCGGAAGAGGAGGAGCTATCAGAAGAGGAGGAGCTATCTGAAGAGGAGGAGGAGCTGGAGTCCTGTGGAAGAGTGACAATTACATTTACACAGAGGTAGAACTAACAGATCAGACAATTAACACCGGAGACATGTCAAAAGAAATGAACCTTATTTTTCTTGCTCTTCTTTTTCTTGCTCTTCTTCTTCTTCTTCTTCTTCTTTTTCTTCTTCTCACTCTCACTGTCAGAGTTTGAACTGTCAGATGATGAAGAATCCTAGGACAAGGGAACACAGTAGATCATCAGTAACAAAAGTTTTAAAAAAGCAGTTTTTTGGTTCTATGAATAATTAAGTGAATTTTCTAATACAGGTTTAAGTCCAAATTCTTAAAAAGGTTTTTGACTTTATTATAAGAAAATATTACCTTTTTCTTCTTTTTGTCCTTCTTCGTCTTCTTCTTTTTCTCCTTTCTCTTGTCATCATCATCATCTGCAGAGCCACAATCCTTCAGAAAGAAACAGAGAAATGCTCTACTGAGGAGTTGAAGGCTAAAAAAGAGTTTACAAGAGGACTCTGATAGATTCCTCTCTTACCTGGCTCACCTTCTCTCTAGACTGCTGATCCATTTGGCCATCGGGACCTAATAGACAATTTAAATATAAAACATGTGTTTGATCGATCAATAATAATTCTGTTTTAAAACATTACTTTGTAAAAATATGACATTAACTTTCATTTTTGACCTTTTTTCAATTTTTTGGACTAGAAAACCATAAAGCTGATATTTATTGTAAATGCTAAAGCTGTGTTTCACATACCAGCCTGGGATATGACCACACTGTCCCAGATATACTCTTTCTTCTTCTCCTTTTTTATCTTCTTGTCTCTTTTTTTCTTCTTGTCATCCTGCAAGAGAATGTGATTTTTTAAATAACTATATGCTGTGTTTTATAGGTTTTTATACCATGTCCATGTGTTACATTTAGACCATGAATAAAGTTGAATCATCAGGGTTGGCTGTCAACTATAAGGTTAATACTCAAGAATGTCTCTGATTGTCTCTGGGCCCTCCAGGAAGCTCATAAAGTTGAGCTCCTTTCATGTATCTGGATCCTAACAGATGATATGTACAGCATGAAGAATGGCAAACAAATCTACACACATAAAGATTACATACAGTCATATTACTAGTAAGAAAGCATTTAAGCAGGCTAACACATCTGAGGTTTCCCAGCATTTCAGATAAAGTGTCTTAAACCACACACCTATATTGTCACGGCTGTGGTTATAGGCTTTTCACACATTGTCATTGGGTGTTAACCTCACATGTCAGTTACAGCCAGCTATTAAGATTCAGGATAAAGGTGCCTCCACCCAGAGCTCAGGGCCAAAGGAATTCCAGGGTTATTAACATGTACTCTCTGTTGTTTTGCTCAAGGGATTTTTTTTTTGGTCATTCTTGATTCTCCAGATTTTCTGATAATGCCTTTAGAAATGTAGACATCACACAATGACCTGAGCCACTTCAACCTTAACAAAAGTAAGGTACTTGTCCTTCGATGATTCTATATTCATGGATGACTCAAAAAAAGGGGTGATAAGATTTTCCCCCAACTTGCTCAAAATGTTATATTCCATTTTAGCCTTTCTGATTTTTTTATATCTGATTTTCTAAAAGTCCAAGGAGATATATCAGCTGCTTGTTTTAAAGAACTTAACTTAGTCCATGCCTGAGAAGAGATTTCTGTAGTATGTACTATAAAACCATCATGCCTACACCCTTATTAACATGTCTTAACAAGCATTAGTTTTACTTCAGTTGAAATCATTTTGTGGTAGTGGTTGTGTTATCAAGGTTTAAGTCCCTGCACAGTTTCCTTGTCAGGACCTCTCAGTGTGTTCAATACAACTATACAGACATATACTTCTATACAACTACAGATGCCAAAACCCACAACTTACTTCACTGTCACTATCTGAAGAGCTACTAGAGGAAGAGGAAGAAGAGGAGGAGGAAGAAGATGAAGATGACGAGGATGAGCTTGAGTCCTGTTGAGAAAAAAAGGAGAAGTTATTGTTTAGTTCCGTGCACACATTGAATATATTTTCTCATAGTCCACTGAACAGCTACTACATTACACCTTTTGTACATTTTGTGTTTTTTATTTTTATATTTTACATTTTTAAATGCTATTTTATATATTGTAGTATCTTCTTATTCTGTATTATTTAAGTTGTTGCTAGTTCTGCTTTATTTCCTTGTTAATTGTTTAGCACCAATACACCAAGTCAAATTCCTTGTATGTGTAAATGTACTTGGCAATAAACCCTGATTCTGATTCTGATTCTGATGCTAACTGCCCTTGGTGAGGAAAGTGTTTGAGAAATCAAACAGAATGAGGCATTCTACAAACACAGTGGAGAGAGGCTTTGTTATTGGTGCTTAGAGAATGCGGTGTACATGGCAAAAGGAGGGTTGCAGCCTCAAGCACCCAGCGACTATACAAGAACTAAAGCAACACACAGAATCACACAGACACACCCACTTCAGCTATGAGGAGAGGCACTCACTGCAAAAGGAACAGTTGATCTGCAGATATGTAATCAATCACTCAATATAATCACATCAATGTCATTAGTTTTGAGTTCAGCCCTCTTTGCACTTCTATACTTTTTCAGAATCACAAACAAAGCAACTTTACATATGCTCCCTATAAGAGCCAGAGGATCAAGTGACTCTGTGTAGTGATTTCATCTCACTCGGGTTAGGTAACTGCCATACCCTGTCCAAATGTAATCTATTCAGTTTTCATCAGTGGTACTTCCCAAATAATTTAAGAGCTTCTCAATAGTGGCAAAAAACAACAACAGTGTATAGCTTTAAAAGACACATACCTTCTTCTTCTTCTTCTTCTTCTTCTTCTTGAGCTTCTTCTTCTTTTTAGCTTTCTTGCTGTAACCCTCGTCCTCACTGTCCGAGGAGGACAGAGAGCTGTCAAATGAGTACAACTGCTGGACAAAGACAGACAAAAGGCTGAGCAACTGAGTGAGTAACTTTAGAATCCAATAAAGTGAAAATAATATTAAACAGAACAGATTAGCATAGAAGACACACTTAGGTCTTTAATCCAAAACATAGAAAACTGTTGAAAGGAAGCAGGGCCTACATTTAATGGTGATAAGGTAAAATAGGTCTTATCAGTTTATAAATGTCTCTATTGCTCACCTGTCCATCTCCTGTTACTGTCGGATGTCCGGGTTTCATCTGGTCTCCTTCCACAATGCCGATGTCTACAGGCTCTGTGACCTCAGCAGGGGGCTGCAGACCACCAGTCCGCAACGCTGCTGGTTCTTGGTTACCTGCAGCGCCTGCAACACCTGGGGCTTTCCATTGAAGGATGACAGGGTTAGTTGTGTTGGTCATCTGGACAGCAGTTAATCTGATCTATTATAGGAGTCCCGAAATCCAACAGATGAGTTGCAAGGCTTTATGCAAACTATCAATATTTCTAGTCCGTTCATGTTGCAACCATTTTACCTAAAGGCAAATGGATAAGGCTGCACTTCCTCAATTTCCCACTTCCTTAACTTGACAGCGAACTTTAACCGGGAGAAAATTATATAAACTTGCAAAAAGATGCATGCTGAATGATGAATCTTTACTGCGCTTTGCAACCAGAACCAATTTGACAAAATCATTGCAAAGTGCCACACCTTAAACAGAATGTGACTTTAGAGAAAGTTTATTTATTTATGTTTTTAGTAATAATGGTAATTCGTTAATGGAAAACATCTTTAACAAAGCTATTACGAGACTTCCATAAGCCCATGTTCTCCAAATAAAAGAAAAACAAGACAACAAACCTTGAGGGAGGGGGGGGTCCATATCTCTCCGGAGAACAGCGTCTTCTCTGACAGACCTACCGATGCATAAAGGTGTGTGTGGAGGTAGATAGTTGTAGGGTGTGGAGCAGGGAAAGTGTGAACATAGCCACAATGATAGACATTTCCTTTTAAACCTTTCAAAATCAAACCCACTTTGAAAGAATACGTATCGGTACTAACAATAACTAACCTAATAGACTGATCGTTTTTATAGGTTTATAGGTTTTAATAATTGAATTGTTGTTTGTGACACCACAACTGGCGCCTTAATAGCCCGTTTCATTAGGCCTATATCAAATCTGTTTTATTTTGAAAGCAACAACGACTTACACCCTGGGATATATGACTGTTATTACGAAGTTATGTCCCATGCAAAGCTGGTATGGCTGGTTTACCTGTCACCGACAGGTAAGACCTGTTTCACTGCAGAGTTAGAGCAGAACGGTACAGGGTGCACATTCACTAAGGTGTGCTTAAAGGGTCAGTGGGCCTACAGCAGTAATTACAAACATTGTTACACAAAGGCTAAATGGGCCGAATGAAAAACAAGAACATGCGCTCATGGGTTAAATATCATATATGTTGCCCTTAGTTTCAAGCAGCTGATAGACTGTTATCAAAGTGGTGTGAGCGGGGTAGTGATGTAAGACGGAGGATAAGGGCCACGTTAAAATATGTTTTTTTCGAGAATAAAGTCAAAAATGTACGAGATTAACGTCGTAAATTTACGACTTTAATCATATCTTTACGACTTTAATCATATCTGATATATACTTTAGTCTATATGAGAAGAGCAGCAGCATCCTGTTCTCAAATGACAAACATGGAGCATCTTGTCCTAAAGGTTTCACTAATAAGGAAATAGGATACTTCCTAGTGTAGTCGGTAAAAACAGTTGAAGAGAAGTTTTCACTTCAACTTGAAAGACTTTGTTTATCTGTAAAATGATAAACAAGACACAAACTGTCTCTGCACATGAGACACTTTAACAAGGCAGACAGATAACAGACACAAATAGTTGTGTTGTTTACTTGTGCAGATATGAAACTACACATGCTTTTGACACATCATCATCTTCGCATTGTCATAAAATATCAGCACCCTGAAAAGATTCTGCAAAAAACTGAAGAAAGAACCACACTGACTGGGAGGAAGCTGTCTGCAGAGGAAACGACTTTAAGAGTTCTACTTTCATCATTTTTGCGAGGCTGGTCTTGAACTCGTACATTTACGAGTTTAAACTCGAAATTAAAAAAATAATGTTTTTAACGTGGCCCTAATCCTCCGTCGTAGTGATGTGTTCCTTTGGTCTATAGGACAATCATTCTCAGATACAAAAAGGTTGTAAATCAATATGCTGTTGCATCGCTCACCCCCCCCCCAGCTTTCAACTCAAAACTTTGTATTTTGTTCCCTTCAAGGTTCCGTAGTTGAACCGCCTCGTTTACCAAGGATTGCGAAGACCCCGTGTACTTCCGCAAACTGGACTCAAAGCTCAAAATAAAAGGCTCCAGCATACTACACGAAGACAACAACAACAACAACAACAACAACATTACAGCGAAAAGCAACAACCACTTA